TATATATATATATATCCATACATCCATACAAATCCAAAGTAGATATAGAGGCACTTGTGGGTTTTACAGTGGAGATAAATCAAACATCAGCATTTTATTGTCATATGTTTGGATGGATCCTGATGGTTTGACTTATCTCCATAACTCTACTTTGGATTTCTCTCTCTCTCTATATATATACACAATACTATGCATGTTTAATAAATAACAAATCAATATTTCAATATTCGTTTCTAGTACATGGCAGTATTATGCATTTTATGAACTGTCTATCAACATTACCTGATTAAAAATTTCAATAATCTACAGCAATCCAAAAAATGTTAGTAGAAGATTTTACTTTATCACCAATAAATACGTTTAAACACCTAGGAATTATCGTTACTACCCCATGATAGATACAGGTAAAGGAGATATTCAGACTCTGGTGGGGAAGAGTCAATCTTGACATCACAACTACATTCTTACTCAACAATCATATATAATACAATTTCCTTCCATTTCTAAATGAGATAGATAGTTACACAGTTACATAGTTGTTAAGGTTGTATAAAGACACAGGTCCATTCAGTAGGTGAGATCTGTGTAACTACTTCTAACCTATATGTAGCTTACAGATGGATGTCTTATTTGTGTGTAAAGGAACACACAAACATAGGTCTATAAACAGACATCATCAAAAATATCTAACTGGCAACTGATATAAAAACACATAGGGGGGAATTAATCAAAACTGGAGCAGACAAAATCTGGAGTAGCTGTGCATGGCAACCAATCAGCTTCTCTCTTCAGTTTGTTCATCTAAGATTTGAAAATGAAAGAGAGAAGCTGATTGGTTGCCATGCACAGCTGCTCCAGATTTTGTCTGCTCCAGTCTTGATAAATTCCCCTCATAGAATATACACATATACAATAAAATGCATATCTATGTGCAATGAAGATTCTTGGCAGTCCATGTGTCTTGGGTTGTGCAGAAAGAGTCAAACCACCAACAGCCTTTTCTTTCATAAAATTAGCCCTGAGGGTCTCTTCTGAAGTTCATGGAGCCAGATAGATATGCTTTTTGTTACCTAATCCTGGCAATTCTAGCAAGATTGGTGACATCTAATATCTGTATATACATTTGCATTTCAGTTATTATTTCACTAGTAGCAAAACAATAGGGTTAGTCCATTCAAACCCAATGCTACAATTCTATGCTTATGATTTTTTAAAACTTTTTTTGTAAGAATAGCATCAGCCAACAAATGTTTTTTTTTTCTTTCTTACCTAGGAGCAGCAAATAAGCACCTATCACTGTCTCCCCATCACTAGAGGCTCGGACACCACTGGAACTGTTGGTCTGCAGGAAGGAGCTGTCTTTCAGGACCACATCCATGATCTTTCCTTGTGCGTCTGGCTCTGGTAACTCTTTTACGTTCAAGGATTGTAAGCCAAACTTTAATCATGTGAAAGCTTCCGGTGAACTGGCTTTCAGCACAACGGATAATCTGTGTCTAAAAAGCATAACCTAATGAATGAAGTTAATTCACTCACTAAACCATGGCTATAGTGAAGAGGCCCCAAACACCATGCTCCCCATTAAATGATCAGTGGCATTCTTGACAATTTTCAAGAAATTCTCTGAAGAAAACAGATGGAACATAGCATTTCTAAAAGTGGAAAAAACAAACAAACAATTAACGTATACAAGAGCATTCACTTTTTCTCAAATATGCTTGTCAAAAGTGTTGCTCTCCTTTTAATGGTGATATACTCCCATATGCCCCTTAATTTAAAGGCTGATAAATTACTCACTTTGAACCACTCTACAAACCAGCACAAACCGCTTGAAGTTCTTGTTTACATTGCAAATAGGCAATATCCTGTCTTTGTATTAAAGGCAAGCTACCCAAACCAATGTGCCATGGTGTCCTCTATACTGGACTGGTGTGACTGGGCCATAGTCCCTGGCAGCAAAATACAGTATTGCCTGGTAGGATCTATTCATATATAGAAACAGGTGAATCATACAGGGAATTTATTGAAACAGCATTCTCCTGAAATAATACTTACGTTGATTATCATAGATCTTAAGTCTACCCAGTTTAATATATACATTTTTGCAGATGCTGATGGATTAAATCATCCAATGGATTCTTATGTGTGTTGGGGAAGTTGCCAGCGAGATTTCTGCAACAGTGGTTCCAGGTCAGCCAACCAGTCAGAGCAAAACCGGGTACGTTACAGGAGCAGCTAAAGTTCTTATGCCTAGCCAAGGTAAAGGCTATAGTGTAGTAAGTTCTTGGCTAAGGCTCTTCGCTGGCACTATGCCGCGTTTCTTTCATTTCCACTGCTGCGGTACTAAGCATACCCTGCCCTCTGATTATTCGAAAGCATTAGTGATTACTATAGGGACCTTTGCAACCTACCCACAGACAGGTCCTCTTCTCATATGGACCATATCTGGGAGAATCTGCAACAGTTTGGTCTTCTCTCTTTCGACCAAAATACCCAATTTCTCTTGGTGGCTCCTATCACATCTCTTAAGCTGAATAACGCTGTCAAACTATCCCTGACTGGCAAGACATCAGACCCTGATGGCTTTTCCATTTTGTACCAAAAAAAGTTCTTACCTCTCCTCGCCGCTCCTGTTCTTGAAGCACTTAATTCTTTATGGGAGGTATTTCCATCTCTTAGTACTAGTTACAGGCCCATCTCCCCGTTAAACATGGATAACAAGTTGTTCTTTAAAATCCTCTAACTCCATCTTCTACTATACTTGTGCAACCTGATCCACCCAGACCGGGTCAGATTCGTACCTACTAGAGAGGCCACAGACAACACCACTAAGGCGCTGAATATCGTCCACTCAGCCCAGTTGACTGCAACACTGTGTATTCTCCTCTCCACTGATGCAAAGAAAGCATTAGT